TGATAAGCACCTCAGTGAGTGAATTCTGGAGGTTCTGAGCTGTCACATGAGGCCTGGAGAATGAGAAAAACCTCTATGTGCCCTGTAGGTGATTATACCCTGAGTAATACCCTTTTAAAAACTGTAAGAGCTACACACAGTTCCTTTAAACCAAATCAAACATGTGGATCTCTGCATCTTCTTTACTGCCATAAAATTAACATTAGGAAATTAAGGAAATAAAGACAAATTAGAGGCAAAATCTGAATCCTGAAGGTCCTGAAGGACCTGTAACCCCCGGTATCCTATGGCCATGCATTACAAAGAAACCAACCATGGTAGCTGTAAAAGCCTAAAAATCTGTGCTGAACATATCAAAGAAACAATAAGAGGAGGAGATAGACTGAAAAATTATTACAGAGAGAGTCCTACTGGATCTACACTCTCAAGGCCACCCAGTTTCCAGGACTTAATGGAGAGCTAGATTTCTCCCCCTTCCTTTTAAAACCTTTAAAACCACAAGCTTTAAATGAGTAATCAATTTCTGTTTTACATCTCTGACCCTTTAATATATTACATATATTGTATATATATATACAAATTATAGTTATTTCTGTAATACTTTAGAATTTTTGCACTACATATATTCTTATACTATGTATCTTTTCATACTATGCGTTTTTATACTGTGTATTTTTCTATGTATTGGTTGTTGGGATTTGAACTATTTGTATCTTGTATTATATTGGAACTTAAATAGCTTGTAACTAAAATCTGTTCAGCCTACATGTCCCATCATGCACCGGGGGACTGTGGGCCAGCCCACTGTGAACATGTGACCTATACCTATTACTTTAAATTTGCACTGTGATATCCATCTCGAGTTTGCCCTGATGAAGGCCGAAGGGCCGAAACGCGTTGGCGTGATTTTAACTTTATCTGCCATGTAGTATTAAAGGCTTTCAATTATTTTGTACTTTTTGAGTGCCTCAGTTTTTTTCCTACTTTGTATTTGAGACTGGTCCCTACATTGAAGAGCACCAAAAGGACAATTCAGCACATTTTTGTATATCCAAGCAGCATTCCTGCATCCCAAAGCTCATCTGAATCTAAATCTAAAACAGAAACATTACAAACCCTGGTCTTAAATCTGGGGAACCTGATTTTCAAAGCGTGAAAGGAGGAAATAAGTATTTAAATTTTAATTTTTAATAGTTCCTAGCTCTCATAAACCCTTTGGCATTTCATTCTTTCTGACAGGGAAGTGAAGCTGAGAGGACCACAAATGCACAATCAATCAGCCCTCATCGTGTCTTACAGCAAGGTGCATAGCTCTTCTTACAATATTGCTTTATAATGGTGTATGCGGTCAGCTCACAGTGGTATGATTTGGTCACAAAGTTCTGCTTTTACAATGTACTCTACAATACTTTACTAATTGGGAAAAGTTGGATAATGCAGCTTTAACACAGCCAAGAGATCTACAGGACAAACCAAAACTGTATTAGTCTGGCACTCTCACATTTCTAACTGTCCAATCATCTAAATTGAACTAACTCTGGAATTTTCTAAATGAAAACATCAAAAACTCAACTTCAAAACCTCCAAGAGCAACTTATTATTGATGATTTATCTCTGCTGCGGCTTTTTGTTAGCTCAGCACGATTGGATATTTTGCCAAGGCTGTATCTACAAATATATCAGCTCGGAGCAATGCAGCACCCTCTCCAATTCTCTCCCTTTATTGTACATTCACCACATGGGCGTCTTTATCCGACTGTGAGCCTAATGCCTGTAATCCTCCTCGTCAAACCAGGACGCGGCTCACTCCATTAGCAGCCTTTCTCCTGTTGATGTCGGGCAGCCCATTCGTTTGTAGGGGAATCTTGTTAGGGCTCTTATTGGCATTGTGTTTCATTAACTTGATTAATGGCGTCTATTGGGGTGCGCTCCACAGTAATCAACATCTCTGCAGAGGAGGGATGCCTGCGGTCAAAGATGGTACTCTCCGGGCTCCTTTCAGCTAAACTTGGGCGCATTCTCGTTCGCCCGCCAGGTCTGCACTCAAAAACCACTATGTGCATATTAATACTAAACAGGGAGACAGAACAGAGAGAGTAGACCCCTGATGACTATGCTTCATTATGGGAAAGAGGCTAAATGTGGAAAAAGTAGACTAAGGGCATTTTAATCACCAACTAATTCTGTTTCAACTTATGAAAAGTCTGAAACATTTCGCCAGTGAAGTGATGGTGATTGGCTGAACAGAGACGATACTAAATGTCTAAAAAGTGCACTGCTCAACATTTCAATAGGAGAATCCGCCACTTGCTTATCTCCATGGAAATGTTCTAGCTTTGTCTAAAATGTTCCACAGTACACTACTAAACCTATCTATCACCAGGGACACAAGCTGGTTACAGCACTACACTACATTACAGTTCAGATTTGTGGAGAGTTTCCCCTATTCACAGAATTGTTGTTCTATTATATTTTTGAGCAATAGAAACACCTGTACTGAATAAATGCTAGATGGATATATTTAATGTCATACCATGGAGTATTCCAGGCAATGTAATAACATGTCCATGAAGACAACCAGATAGCAGACCCTCCAGCAGAAAAGCTGCACAGTGCACCTTTTAAATATACTTATTTTTGAGTGTGTGTGTAATCTATCATCACTATATATCATATTAGGAACGACTGCTGCGTTTTACAACTTTTTATAATAGATGCTCAAAGCCTCTCTTGCACATTGTTACTTGTTAGTTTATAGAGACCACCCAAGGGTGCCATGATAAAAAGATAAATGTTTTTTTTTTCTTTTGTCAAACATGGATCCTAGCTCCCCAGCTAATCAGTGTAAATACTCGCTTCTAATGTATTCCCATGCATGAACGTGTAACACATGCTTAAATCCACTCTTATTATTCACATCAGGCACTATGGTTTCAGTGCATCTGATGTATCCTGAAGTGCCTTTTGCAGAAGTACAGTACCCTCCATCTGCTGCTGGTGTGAGTCCAGCTGTGGGCCAGGTCACGTCCTGGGTCAGTGAATGGGAGATGAGACGCTCCTCACCTCTTAAAGCCCCCAACACTCACAGAGGGGGGCACTGCTTCTCATCTGCGGGCATTGTTTGCTAGAGACGGGTGGGCTGCAAAACATTCAAACACTCCCACCTGGCTTTCGGATTTGCTTTCATCATGCACTTTTTAGGCACACTGTACACTCTTGTATTCTCACTACTGTGGAGTGAGTGGACTCAAAGTATTGTTTTTCCAGGTAGATTTTTTTATCTTCTGGTATTATGTTTAACTTAGTCCTTTAAAAAAATACATTTATTCTAACTTAAAGATCATTGCAAATATGAGCTTTAAAGGCTTAGAAAACAGAATGAAAGTTTAAAGTACATAATTGCAGAAAAGAACATTATTATTGGATATTTGCCTGTATGGAAATTGTTCTGTTGCATTCAGTGAACCTTGCTGAAGAGTCATTGGAAAGTTCAAACATGTTTTGAGGTAAGGGAGACGCATATAGTTGACCTTGATTGAAAATCCAAGCAATGTACAAAGTACACAATGTACTGACTGAATGTTGCTTCTTGTGGGGGACTTTCGCTTGATTTAATGGAATGCATATACTAATATTTTTTCTCTGGGGAAATATGATTATGTTCTGCTCAGTATTCATTTCACCCATTTCTGAGTCCTGTCCAGACGGTGAAGTATTCAGACCTAGCCAAGTCTGCCTGTTTCCGCCCAGGAACAGAGGGACAGTGGACAGCCGGGACGTGACCAGGGCCCCCCAAAGCCTCATCTTGTTAATTAGAGCTGCACCAGAACATCTCATGCTCCTTGGGATCTCCTTGAATGGAGTGTAATTTGTTGGATGGATATAAACATCAATAAAAGACTCTCTGAAGACCGAGCCAAATGGAAGGTACTTTTGGATATTTATGGTGCAGACACTTAAAATTTCTCTGCTATAAAATCTCAAATCTTTACTTGCCCTATATGTTACTTTAGAGACATTTCTAAGCGGTATTTTTAGTGATGAAAATTGAATAAAATAGCTGTACTTATAATGGTACAGTTATACAACACAAAGTAGTAATATAATGTCAGTAGTGGTAGCATTATGTTTAAATATACTTAAATGTATATGTAGATGCAATAATTGACTTGATAATAATTACAGTACCAAAAGCTTTAGCAATAGCAACTGTCAGGATGGCTTTTATTAAAAAATGAATAAAGAAATAAGATACATTTCTTTATTTTGGATTTTTTTTCACATCACAAGGACAATTGAGCTGAACACATGGAGCTCTAAATGAGATGACAGCAGCCAGTGCAGACTGTGAGACAGACAATGAGAGGGGCAGTTCGGTATACAATACACTGAAGCATCTGTCAGTGCCCTGCTATGTGAGAAGGAAAGTATACACTCAAGTGATCAGTGCCAATCTACTCTGAATACTAATGACTGGAAAAAGACAAGAGGCATCTACTGGAAAAAGATGACAAGAGGCATCTTTATACTACAGTGAGTGTTTGCATGGAGCAGATGTTAACACGTTACTTAAATTACAAAAAAATTATAACACTTGGTGTAATACATCTCTGACAAAAATGGATTTCAAGACTAGATCGAAATTGGTGCTCCTATAAAATGTATTCTCTTACATGGTATGAGGTTACATTATCAAACTTTTCCAGCAGGGGGGGTGATGAAGATGTTACTGATTTGTCTGGGATGTTCCAATAAATTATCTCCATGGAGACAAGCAGTTACGCCACCACACCAAGTTGCTGGTCTTCAAGTTATCTATGAGCAATTAAAGCCTGTGATAAAATAAACACTACTTTAAAAAAATATATATATTATTGAAAGCCATACTGTGAAACATTCCAGTCAAAGCAATGTTCATCCCACCAGAAAAGTCACATAGAGTACCTTTAAACCCTGCCCACTGTTAAGCTAAAGATTAAGAGAACAAAAGAACAACTCACCATCCTCCCTGGATTTCTGAATGAATGCGTCCACTCCACTCTCACCGTAGTTTCCCTCTGAGGCCACCGTAGACACATAGTTCCAGCGCATGGCTTTGACGATGTCCACCATGGCCTGGGCCTGGTATGTGTCAGGAGGGACCACTCTGGAGAAAAAGTCGTAGCGTGTGTTGTCACTGAGCTCTGGGGCAGTGGAGGCATAGCTCACTTGGGGAATCTGCAAGAGAGAAAAACATACTGCTGATGCTGCTTGCCTGCTTTCATTGGAACATGTTTCTGGAAGCTCCTTTTTTTTCTTACAGTAAGCATTGCCCCACTGTCTTTGTCAAGATTTAGTTAGTATTTTTTTGACAGTACGATACCTTTGAAATTAAAACATGAATTGGGATAGACATGACAGACACACTACTATATGCCAGCAACCACTACCAAACCCACAATCACACCAACATACCGTATACTGTATCCAGTGCAGTGGTTTAATAGGTAAAGTTGTTTGGCCACTGATCAGAAGATTGCTGGTTTGAATCCTACATTGCACTCTAATATTCTTCATCCACTTCACTCCATGTCTTTATGATGTATCTCCCAAAATGTAAACTGGTAAATGATCACATTTCTATACAGCACTTTTCAACCCTCAAGGCACCCAAAGCACTTTGCAATAAGGAACCACTCACCAATTCACACAAACCACTGTACACTGACACTGTGAGGTGTTGAGTGTCTTGCCCAAGGACACAACAATTGTATTCATGTGTGGGAACTGGATTTGCACTGCCAGTCTGTGAGTCAGTGGATCTCACTGCCCTGCCAATGATGGTTATGTCGAGAGCGGGATTTGAACTGCCAACCTTCTGATCAGTGGACAAACACCAACTGAGAGAGTTACTGTCACTCCCACAGAGTAAGTGTATCACAAATGCTACCATGAAATGGAAACTGCAACTGTATTTATAACAAGCCAATGTTGTAGATAATAATGCAAAACAAAAATTAAAAGAATATGCAATAAAAGCAACACATGTATAGTGGGAATAAAAACAAAGTGTTACCAGCAAATTAAATCTAAAAAGCAAACAACCAAACCTAATGTTCTTGCAGCAGCACACATCTCCATAAGCAGGTATATTCCGATGCCTTATGAGATTGCATCTTTATAGTCCCTCATTCTTTATATAATGAAACTATAATACAAAGACAACCAAAATAAAAAGTTCTGAATGTGCTCCAACAAGGACCTGCCCCGGGCGACCACTCATTTTTCAGACAGTGGATGTTTTGTGCCAGTCCAGGGGAGTTCTCGGCCTGTTCTCTGTCACTTTAATAGTGGGTAACGCTGTGTTGGTGTAAATAGCAAACATTTGTTATTGGTCCATTCAGGAAACAGAAGGCAGAGGTGTATCCTGGTAATGAAACCCTCTATGGCTTTGTGATAGGAGACTGTCAACTTTTTTTTTTATGTCTTTTATGATTCAATTGAAAAATAGTCTGTGTGTTGGCTCCCCTCACCCTTTTGATTCGTACAACATTTCATTACAGGGGAAAAGATCAACATAAGGACTGCAAAAAAACATACATAGTACAAATTAGCATATCTGTACAATAAATGTGGAGACCCATTTTAAAACAGCTGTTATGTCTGATTTCCAATTATAGCAATTTCATGCTCTTAATTGGTTATTGTAGTAATTGCTTGCTTCACTGTGTCAGTCCAAGGAATACATTTACATGACCAGTTAAAAACAAAGAAAGTAGAATAATTAGAAAAAACATGCTCAACACAGAATTTATCTGCCTCAGGTCCCAAGTGGTCTGGGCTCTTTCTGCTGTCTCCTGGTTGTTGGGTGTGGGAGTCCACCTACAGGTGCCCAGGCTCATGCTCTCCCTTCCCCTCAGGGCCTAACCTCTGTGCTAGCTTCCCTCTCTGGTCTACCTCCAAGCTCCTTACCTCCCTGATACTTTCAATGCATCACAAGTCAACCAAGGATGAATGTGCGCTCATGTGTGTGAATATTCACACACATGAGCAGTGTGAGTGTGTGTGCAGGCTATGTGGATGTGCCTGTACGTTCCTGTGCAGACAGGTGCGGGCATGCATGTGTGCATGTGAATGTATGTAAAATGTACATATATATCAGGGAGGGGGTGCGTTCAGACCAGGAGGTGGTTCATCGAGGGGCTGGCCAGCCTGTTTGGCAGGCGGCCGCATGCATGGCCCTTGGGGGTGGCCCCCGCATCCCGCCATGGGGGGCATGGGCGTGGCTTGGCCTGCTCCGATTTGAGTGGGCATCTGAGGCAAAGCTCCAACACATACTTAACTTATTTTCAATACTCAGATTAACTAGTAATAATACAGGTCAGCAGTAAATCATCCGAATAGCCTCATCCCCCCCTGGGGAACAGATACACACACGCATATGCACACATGCACATATATGCGCACACGCACACACACATGCACGCATATGCACACACACGCACACACATGCACACACACCCGCGCACACCCACACACACGCACGCACGCACACACACACACACACACACACACACAGAGACACACACATAAGGTCCACACTGTCACCAGCCCCTGTCACCTTTGTCCCTTTTTGTATGTAATCTTCGTAATTGTAATCGTAATGTCTGTCTTGTATCTTGTATGTTGTCTGGTTCCTATTTGTTGTAACATATGTTTTCAAATAAAATTAATACAAAAAAAAAAAAAACTTGCTCATCAAAAGCACTTGTTTGTTACTAAATGGACTTTTAAAAGGGCCATATTACGTTATTTTTTTAAATTTATGTTTTAATGTTATTTCCTCATCACAAACATATTTGGAATTGTGTTGTTTCATTCACACATGTTTAACACACAAACTAATTTCTTCCCTCAAAAAGAAAACACACTGTTCCACCCTGTGATGTCACGTAGTAATACTGGTGTTCTGCTGTATTTTAAACTCCATACACCTTTACGAGAATCATTTGGATAATTTCAGCCATGGAATGGCCAATATCTACTAAATAAAAAGGTAAATAAACTGCTTCATGACATCACAAGGTGGAACAGACCATTTTTACCTTTGGAGATGTAGACAAACTAATAACAAAGGATTACTCAAACATGTGTGAATGAAATGAAGCACAACTCCATGTATGTATTTTTGTATGATTTTTGGTGTAAACATAGCCATTTATTCCCATAATGCTTTGCACAAGTTTTTCTGTGTTATTTAGTTTAATTCTGTATAAATATCCAGTTTTTACTTTCACTAGTAATTTATTCCTCAACTTCATTCTTATTTATTTTCCTCACACATGTTTTTAAATTGGTTTTTATTTGTTCCTTTGATTGAAGAGCCCCTTCCCTTCAATCATGTAGACAGTTATTACTGATTGGGATGAAAAAGTGTTCAGACAGAAAAGCTATTCCCCTTTTTAGTTATGAAAAAATCAGGAAAATAAAATGGGACAGAGTAAACCCTGAATAGACTCTTTTCTCTCTCTCTGCATTTAAATTGTAAAGCAAATATAGTTTGGCCTTTGTTTGTTGGTGGCATCGCTGCAGTTTAGGCTCAGAGAAGTATTTGAGGAGAATCCAAAATGACAGGTTGAGACATCATGAGAGGAACACTTCACCACAGCAGAGGGGCCAGGGACCCCTCCCACAGTGAGGGCCAGCGGGGAGCAGTCACTGAGTTATGACAAGGTAAATATTATAGTGGCCCCATAAGAAGGAACATGAGGGTTTTGCGGTGTATGAAACGGGATTTAGAAAGTGTTTGCAGTTACAGTTTGTTTTATGCAATTATTACCTTATATATTCATTTTCGGTGTTAAACTTTTCTAGTTTGTTTCCAAGGAGGTGGTAATATTTTGCTTGGAATATTCCACATAGTCATAAATGTATTTCTCTATGGAGACAAGCAGGTTATCAAGTTACAAGTCAGATCTGTGGAGAGGTGAGTCACAGTTACAGAATGCATATTTTCACATTATTAACGTGTAATTAAATACATTCTAGACAGATAAGATTAATGTCACGAGATGAAACATTCCATACCCCTTAATCCTCTTTCCTAAAACGTCTAAACTAAATTACTAAAATGACTCTCGGTTCAAACTGAATTCTGTTTCCTTGGAATGGGAACAAGCTCTACACAGAGGAAAATCAGATTTAAAATTCCACCTGAATTAATAAATAATTTGGGGAATAGGTATAGCTGGTATCCCTGGGGACTGTCTGATAGAGAACAGATTGAGCTTCTATGGAGTTTTGACAGTTCCCATGTCAAAGCTGAAACATAGCTAAACAAGAGATTTAGGGACTCAGGGACTTAGGCAAAAAGTCCAGGCAAAATTAATCTAAAACTCCTGAAAAAAGTTTTATGAATCCTTGTGTTATTGTTTTTATTTGTGGGTTTGGAGTACAAATTGGTCCAGATTCTTCACAGAATGGTTGATTTGACCGAAAATAAGTGAGTTACAGATTTCCATGAATATTTTATATGCCCATGAGACCGACAAACAAAAATGAATTAAGAAAAACTAAAAGGGCCCAGACATGAACTGTCAGTACTTTATCATTATCTTACCAATCTTTTTTTTCTATTTTGTTTTGTTTGGTTGTTTTATATGTTTTATCCTGAGGTTTAAATCTAAAAAGCATATATTTTATATTTTATTTTTGATGAGTTATTCTTTCTACAATCCAGTGCAATATTATTGCGCTCTTCTGCCAAAGCCCGTCTTTAAATAGACCGTTTTGCACAGTAACACTTGTGAATGAGTCTCTTTGTACCCACTGCATGTTTCTGTGGCTCCTGAGTTTGTTTTGCCATGCTGCTGTAATTAAAACATCCTCTGCTAATTAAAGTACACATTTGGTTTGTTTTGCTTGTGCTTGGCTTTGGTATTTACAAACCCGACCTTTCTGTGCTGTTGTATTGTTACAGATAGAGCACTGTGACTCATATGTATGCACAACATGACCACAGGAAGTCAATGCGGGGCAGGGTTTCCACTACGGCGCATGGGTCAGGAGTAAACAGGAGTGTACAGATGCAGTGTAGACGTGAGTTTACTCCAGGCTTCACAGTCTAACACTCTGCAGTCTGTTGAGTTTTCACATGTCTCAATGTGATAGGATGGTGATGATTTGTATCTATTTTCAGTCTGCGCTTTCACAATATTAATCTATGTTACCTACGCATA